TCTTGTATATCTGCCAACTTTTAAAATATCCAATCTGAACGCCCCCCCCCCCCCCCCCCCCCACCCCCCGTTTAAACTTATTATTGGCATTTATCCCATACCCCTCTCCCCCCAATTAAGTTTTGTGCCTTCTTTAGACAGACCGTCTGCTAAAACGGAAATGATGTTTGTTGCATCTGCTATCTGTCATCCAATTTGTACAACGATGTTCATTGGAAAAACTTTATCGCTGGACCTCAGGTATAACATAATTTAATGTTTGATTATTGAGAATAAACGCTTCACAAGGAGTAGTTTTTTTTTCTTCTTCTTCTTTGAACAAATAAATATTGCAAAAAAAAAATTAGGTATATTAACAACTGTTTGCTGATATATTACAGATATACAAAATAAATCTGCATACTACTATAAATAGTAGTATCTGATATGATACAGGTCAATTTTTGAACTGTTATCATCGTCTAGGCTTTGATAACAATTTTTACAACACACGCTTAACAACAGGAAAAAACAGAAGTTAAGCTAGTTATTCAACATATAGAAATGGCGACAATTTTAACAATAAGAATCTTCAAAAAAAAAAAAATTTATTACAATTATAATTGCAACAATATATGTAAATGTTAAATATCATCAATGTATTATAAAGAAAAAGAAAATAATGGAAAAAATAAAAAAAAAATGATCAAGAAGAAGTGGGATACATAAAACATAATGAATGAACTGTGACAGTATAAATTTGTTGACGTTTTATTTAACCAGCAAAAAACGACAACACAAGACAACTTAACTTTACCCATTGGAAGCAGCAACAGCATATTGTTCATTGTCACTAACACTGCTGAATCTCAAGGCATTGCGCAATTATATGCTAAAACTAATTGCTCTGCGCTTAGTTCACTTACCAAAACGTTGGAAAACTGTGTACAACTAAAATCCCCTCCCTTTCCTTCTCCCACTCTCCGTCCCTTAGCCGCTCATTCATCTCTCCTTCAGTATTACGGCTGCAGAGTTTTTATAATTTTTCACCTCTGACATTTCATTACTCTTTTACTATCATCCAAATCCTCGTACAACTAGTCTATGCCGAACTGAAATCAGAATCGTCACGCATACCCTTCAAACTCTTTCTATAAACAATCATCGCCACTATAAGGCACAATTAGGCCACACACTCTCGGCCCAAGTAGTATAGTGGTTAGTACTCCACGTTGTGGCCGTGGCGACACAGGTTCGATTCCTGTCTTGGGCAGAACATCCACTAGGATGCGCACTTTTTTCACATTTCAAGTACAAGTGTTGTAAATGCGCAATAACGCGCAAAACACTCCATCTTGCCCTGCTACTTGATGCCTACTAAAACTTCGGTAGTAGTTGAAATTTCGCCATGGTCTTTTAAAATCACTCAGGTTGCGGAAATAGTACTCAACGTCTCTCCACTGCAAAAGCTTCATTTAGTGATTCGTACAACCAAACCTAATACAGACGCAGCCATCCTGCTTTAAAGAACATAATTTGACACACCACCTATAGAAACCAACATACTTGACTGTGGTTTAATGTAGAATTAATTTCTAACACCCCCTATCCTGTCCCGAATTACTAGTATGGATATAATACCGTCACCACACTTCTTTATTTCTCCTCAAAAATCTTTCATCAACAGGAAAATCATTATGATCGCAAACAACAGACATGAAAATCCGGGCAGCTTTAAAAGAATAGAATATTACATGGAAATATCGAGCAACAACGAGAAATTAACATCTTTTGCTCACAGCAGCACACTGTCAACAATTAAGAAAACTCAATGTAGCTTCGATCAAGACCACTGCCACAGATTCTAGTCGCAACCCACTATTAATGTTTTTCGCTAAAATAAACTTCTAAAGTGTCTAAAGGCTAAACACAAAAAATGCAAACTTAAAACTCACAATGGAAATTCCGAAGAACAAATGAGATGTCTCTCTCAAAAAACTACTACTACATACTGACAAACACAGAACAAAATAACAGCATTCTCTGCTGTAAAACAACAAAGACGACAGCCATAACAAGTCAAAACTAAATGGCCGAACTATTAAGATGTTACGTGAAAATAAGCATCCAAATTTGAACTAGAGACTTTCAACAAAAATAGCAACAATAATGGTCAACTGATACAAACCACCGTAATTTTTCTCTTATAACAAACGGTAATAATGCTTCTATATGTAACAAAACCTACGCTACAGTTCCTCGTTGTCCTAATCTACCATTTAACAAGAGGAAGATTCAACAAAACTTACTAATTTTTAAACACTTCATAAATGCCAAATAAATACAGTCACCCGCTTGATAAAACGACTGAGCAACAAACGCTTCAGTGCAGCATAGAATGAATTTCATTACAAATATCATTTACCAAAGCACAGAAGTTCCTTATAACTTTCCTTCTATTAGGTAAAAAAGTAAAAATCAATCTAATCTCCCAATATTTCATCACACAAATGAGAGAAAATTCTTGTCAACTTGGAGCAGAAAAAAAACTTCTAAAAATTCTATGATGCGGCCGTTTTCTTCTTTTTCTCAGAGCCTAAAACTTGTTCTTGAGAGTTGAAGGATTCAGACGTTGAATGTCGTGCATTTTTTGTAGTACCCGCTTTCCTAATATCATTCTCCGATAACGCTCGCCTCACACGTGCCGTCGTTTCGGAAGACTCTGTGGCAAACTTAAGACCTGCAATACCATAAATAAGCAGTATGATTATAAATAAATAATTGTTCCATCTGACCTTTCTAACCGAAAAAAACAAGAAGTAGAAAATACGAAAAACAGAAGAACGTGAGAAGAGTTGGAAATGCAATACTGCAGAATAACAGGCTGTGCTGATGAGAATTAAGCAGATAGAAACAGCTCACTAGCAGCCGTCACCTATTTACCCGCATCAAAAGCGAAATAAAAACTGAGAGAACAAGGGCTAATTTCGATGAAGGCAATTTGATCTATAAAGCGAAAGGTAGACATAAAACTGTAAATTTTGCGTTCAAAACGTACGCTTTAACAAAAGTCTTGCTCCTTAAACCTTACACTGACAACTCCTCCAGAGACTGTGTTGAACAAGTTTAAAACTTTTTTTGCTCCCTAATATAGAATTGGAAAATGCTTGAAAACAATACAAGATCTGATAAATATGCTTCTTAACGATTGTTTGTGCCCCACCCAATGTACCCTTCAGTCACCGTTTTTGGAAAAAAAATTGGTACGGCTTTTAAAATGTAGGCCATCGCAATAGCACCTAATTAAACCACTTGTTCCAACCACTTTTTTAATGTTCATTCCAGGATTTTGGTTATATCTTGTCTATTGGAAACTTAGACGTAAAATTATTTTTAAAAACCCCGGCAATTCCGTAAACCTACTATAATTGTTACAATCACACAAAAATAATAGGTAGAAAAAACTGTAGCCTACAGCTGCCTGCTTAAATTAAAAAAAAAAATTACTGAAAGCAGCAAAAAGAACTATGGAATACCTGGTAGAACCGTAACCTTTTAATCCTAAAATTGCATCTTTCAAACGTTTCAAAAGGCTATCGTTCTTTGAGCCCCCTCCGTTACTCGTCTTCTCCTTATAATTTTTCTCCTCCCGTACATCAGATCTTTTAGGATTAGTTTTGAAACTGCTCCCTAAAAACGAGGAGAAGGTTAAACGGAGAGGGAAGTTCAAAAAAAAAAATGCATATTTTTTTTTTGATTTTTGATGCCGCTAGACCTGCTAGTAAAAAAGTCACGGTTTTTTAAAAAAGCGGAGCAAAAAAGACATTGAAAAATAGGTGGCGTCGTATGAATCGGAGAGAATAAATCCAAAAAATTTACTACGGACTGGGTCTAGAAGACACAATTTAAATTAGTTAAAACAATTTAAAGAAAAACTAAGAAAATTTCAGCTGCTAAACGGTAGACCTATACAGCTGGAAAGCACAGATATCTAATAAATGTGCAAAGACCTTATGGCGAGGTTGAAAAAGTTCAAAAATGCTTACTGAATGAATGAAATAAGGATTTCGAGATAATTACCCTTTGGTTTGAAATCCAACTTACCATATTTTGAAGATTAATTTCGTAAACTGCCACATGCTTTCCTTTTCGAAAGCCGGCAAGAGTTTAAATTTTAGTCTTAAAAATCTAAAAACATTATCAAGAGAAAATAAAGGCACCATTTCGAAAGCGTATAATATAAAATTCATACATACCGTCTACTGTATTCTTTATGCCATGGACTGTTCCGGATACATCTGCCTCCAATTCTGCCCAGGCTTGCATCAAAGCTTTCTGCTTCTGTGTCAGAGCCCTAATAAAAAAAAGCACTTTAGAGCAATGACTTAGTTCATTTTACTCGATAAAACCATTCCAGAACATACTTCGGTACTTTGATCTTGATATTGATGTATTGGTCACCATGTCCTGCATAATCCAATCTTTTGATACCCTTCCCAGTAAGCCTCATACGAGTGTGTGAATTTGTACCAGGTGGGATTTGAATATAAGTATCCTGTTCAATCCCAGGGACCTTAAATCTTGATCTCATTTTAATTTATATCCCTAATAAAGCTGTAATGACCGCTGATCACAACGGGCGATAAACAATACATCTTCTAAATCAAGTCTATATAAAAGAAAGAAGACATTTTCAAGAACTTTGCTATAAAAATATTTCTAATAATACCTTCACAGTGCCTCCCAGCACAGCTTGCGCAACTGATATCTCCACATCGCAGTGGATGTCATACTTGTCCCTTCTGAAGCGAAGTGATGGAGCAACTTTGAAGGTGATGTAGACGACAGACTGAAACAATTGTTACCAAATAAATAAAATTTATTAAGAAAGATAAAAGGTTAACGTCCTGTAATTCAAAGCCTTAAATGGTTCTTGGATCATTTAAAGAGCTGCTGGTGACAAAAAGACGTACTCTTCCAACATTCAAGCGTACACTCTCGCCATCATTAATACCAGCAGGGATATTAACAGAAACAGATTTTCTTTGAACAGAACGTCCATGTCCCTCGCAATCCAAACATGGGTTTTTGTTGTAATAACCGGTCCCTCTACACCGAGAACAAGAAGTTTGCATAAAAAACCCTCCCATCTGCTGCGCTATAAAGCCAGTCCCATTGCAGTATGGACAGGATACCTTGAAAGAAAACTCCAATAATAGGAAGCCAAATACAAGTGAAAATAGTAGAAAATAAAAGCTGTACAGTAAGTAAGCAGTCGAAAATGAAGAAAAACAATGGCATTAATATACTTTTTTATATCCTGGTTGTACTCCTTTGCCTTTGCAGGTCGGGCAATCTTCAATCACATTCAGTGTTACATTCTTCGTTACTCCTCGAGCCGCTTCCTCAAAAGTAATATTCATAACATGTTGCTGGGACGAGTCGTAACCGTGAGCGGTCTCTGCAAAATCGTCTCCAAACCCAGCAAAATTTGCAAATGGGTTCCTACCACCTAAAATGAGGAAAGGTCTACAATCATTTCCAAATTCAATTTCTAATAAACTAATAATCAAAAATCCATGCAAAACTTCGATAACCACTATTAAATCATAGCAAGACAAAAACAAAAATGGCTCACCAAACATCTTACGAAAAAGTTCTTCAGGATCCACAGTGGACTGATAATGCCACCCATCAGCAGTACGTGACTGCTGACCGGCATCGGGAGACTGTTGGTAGAAAGGCCCTGCACCAAACTGGTCATACTGAGCGCGTTTTGTGTCGTCACTAAGCACCTAAGAAGACGTAATTTATTAAAAGAAAAAGAAAGTCAAAAACGAAGCTAAAGTTGAAAGGTAGCAAGAAGATGCAATTACAAACTTCATATGCTTCTGAAACTTCTTGAAACTTCACATTTGCATCTTTTTCCTTGTTCACATCCGGATGATATTTTTTTGCAAGCTGAAAGAGAAACAGCAGTAAAAATTAAAAAAGGGTAATTTTGAAAGTATACCGTAACTAAGAATGAAGGTTAAGATTTGAGAAAATATTTAATTCAAACCGAAGAATACCTGATAATAAGCCTTTTTGATTTCTTTTGCACTGGCCCCCTTTTTCAAACCAAGAATCTCATAATAATCTCGTTTGGCAAGGTTTTGATTGCTAGTCTGTATTCCTCGCGAATGATTTAGCAGGACAGATGATAGTGTTCCTAAAGTAACTAACTTTGTCTGTTAACCAGTCACACTCAGACCTTTCTTCTTCTTGATTTAATAAGTCGAAGATTTATGCTAAGCTACTGTAATGACAGAGCTCACTCGTTTAACAAAAGAGGTTTAAGGCTAACCTTTAAAACAAAAACGTGAACTATGCAAACGCACTCGTAGCCTTGAAGGCTGGAACGCATTAGTACCGGAGGGATGATGAATGAAAAGTAACGCTACACGACGTAACCCGCAACTAGCTGGGAGCATTCTATGCGGATCCTCAGCAATAGATTACCTAAGCAGTTTCATGTCGATTAAGAGAAAAAAAAACCATGGATCTCAAACAGTTGGAAAAAAGTACCATTAGAGGTGTAATACACTAACAACCACCGGTAAAAAATTCAAAAGTCAACAGCATCATTCAATACTCCACTCAAAGCACAAATAAATGGCAAGTCAAAAAAAAGAAAAAGTTCTAGAAAAAATACAAGCACAAAGAATTTAACGAAATATTGTGCGAGATTAATTCCCATAAGTTCTATCCCAGGCATCATAAAATTATAAGCGCAAAAAAAGGTTTACGTCAGGGAACAACACCGAACATGGAATACGGCTAATTTACGTTCAGCGATCAGTTACCACAGTATACAAACAATCTTAAGTAATAAATTCTTAACAGCAAATTCCTTAGCTTACGCCTTTAAATAAACGTTCAGTTCAACTCTCCTTTTTTTTCGATCTTTTTCTTTTTAGTTTTTCACCAGACCTGTTCCATGACGAAGAAGGAAGAGGTAATGCTGATGGTATTTAGAGAATAAAAAGACAATTTTTTTCCCAAGTTTAACTAGAGCTGTTTTGTATGAGCACGCAACAAGTATAATTTCGAAGAAGCTATTAACAGTTGCAGAAACAGTGGAAATGATTTTCCAGATAAGTCACGCGGTTCAGGAGAAGAAAAATTAAGCAGGAAGTGTCATGAACTTTCTGAAATTTATGTACGAGGTGCAATGACGAATGCATCGTACAGCAACAGTTCGCATAGATGTGAAATGTCTTCCTAGCGAACACGGCTCGCATTACCCGAAGCAATACTTTGCAAAATATTAAGCTGCTACTATGCCAGAGTTAATTGAAACGAATTATTGATGGCTACAATACACAAGTGCAGGAATGTTTTTCCACATTTCTGTGTCTGCAAGGGTAACAGCAACAGATGCAGTCCGGAAGGTTACGAGTATTACTTTGCAACTGACCGGATTAAGCCTGGTAACATTACTGTAGATAGGGGCAGCTACTCTGCAAGCATATCTCTATCATTAGCTTACCGTCATCTTTCGTACTTGAGGTTCTCGAAAGACCTCGTCTGGTTCAGGCAGTGTAGTTTCAGGTTTCTCTGTTTACTTCCTGGAAACATCCATACAAACACTGTTGAAGTTTCCGCTTAGTCGCTTGTAGGTGAGAGGTGATGTGATGAATAGTTGTTATGTTTTGTAAATGCAGTTTCGGAAATATTAAAGGCTCAAACTTACTTCTTATGTAATTCTTCTAAAAACGATTTTCACATTTTCCGACCCTTTTCTGGTCTGTCGAAAAATACCTATACCTGTGATAACATTGTTTTAGCTGCGTACTGAGAATCTGTTGATCTCTTGGAGGAGTTCACCAAAGTTATTGAAGTAGGCTTTCCGGTGCTGCCTTTTGATCTGGCTCCTTTAGCTTTCTGTAGAGTTTTTACGACCTTTGAAAGGTTTGAATTACTGTAATATTATGAGCAAGAAAATAAACGAAGTGCTTGGGGATACAATGGGTGTAGAATCGTGCAGACTCTTCTGTTCTATTGAAAACTCGCCGCATGTCATTTGTACTGATCATGCTAGGTATAATCCATAGCTTAGTGGTAACAGATAATCGGAAGAGGCAGCCGCGTACAGAATCAAGTATGAAACTGTCGCAGATGCAACAGCTTGGTCATACGTGTGACCACGATAGAAACACTAAAAACTTCGTTTATTCTACAACCACGTGTAAGAAAGACACCTTTAAGCACGTGACACTCTGATACTCATCTTATGGCTATATCTCTGCACAAATTACCCAGTTAGCGGAATTTTTAAAGCAAACCTTACTCCTCAGTGATTGATTTTGTGGACAACTTTGGTCTGGGAAAAAAAGCCAAAATGTGTTTTAAAGAAAGGCTTGGCTTCTCAAAAAACGTACTTTTTACGTACTACTGCTGAGAAGCAGAATATTCTTCTTCTTTTACCATCTTGGCCCCTGAGGGCTCGCTTCAATCTATCACCACCTCAACAATAAATTACCGATTTTATAACTGAATATTCCTCACATCATAGTTGATTGGCTAAAAGAGCATTTTTACTGCGGACCCGAAAACAAGCACCATTATGAATAAGGAAGAAAAATTGTTTTACTTCAAATTTTTGGTGCTTCGGGAACTGGCTTGTCGAACCACTTCGTTTTTAACCACGAATCATTTGAATCAAAAAATTTTTTTGGATAAAAGAGGTTAGCAGTTGAGAGGACTGCCGTAAGTATAGATTTAAGGACCCGTTTCAGTTGGGAGTGATGGAATTAAAAAAAAACTGTAATAGCCAGAGAAGTACTTCGATGACGACAAGCAGTAGCCTACAAGAAAGCTGAACCCGACGCCTTATAAGTAGTTTCACCACATCTCAGAGCCAAGGATGAGAAGTCATAAGGATTAAAACGAAATTTAGCACTGGTCCACTAAAAAGTTGAAAAGTATATAGAAGAGTGTAAAACCACTGCAGGTGAATTAAGCGGGGTCGATTGAGAACCCGTATACTGGAAGTGAAGATAGGT